TGCACAAGTGCAAAAATGTATGGCTAAGTATATAATTAAAAGTAATGTGTTTAAATGGTTTTTTTTAACATTTTTGAAATATTTATTATATCGCAGTTACGATATTTGACATTAAAAGACCGCGTGATGTATATCTATTAATGAAGAATTAATAAAATTTTAGCTTGAGTAACCATTAACTTTAAATGAGTGGCATTGTAAATCTCTTGTTGTTTCTGAAAACTTTCATTTCAAAGATTCAAAAACTTTTAAATTTTTTAACATTTATTCAATAGTGTAATACCGTTCGATTCATTGTTCAATTATTTAATCACATAAAACTTAGAAATTTTTCTTATTTACCAAAAAATAAGTTACAACGTAATTAAATAATTGTTAAAAAAATTATGTGGAGTAATAATTCTTGATAGTATTAGCTTCTCTAAAGTGTATATTCATTTGATATTTAGAAACGATAGAGCTACTTGTAAAATACAATAGAAGCCGTCGCCCATTCCCGCTGTAACCAAGACTACATATTATCTACTAACAGTGGATTTACACAGGAAATATTCCATTATTTTGCGCAACCAATTCTTCTACAAACATTGCCTGTGTTTACCTTCCAGCTTTGATATGATCATATTAATTGTAGTCGTGATATCACGACAAAAAACATCAATACCAATTTCCAGCTGTTGACTAAAAGACGGTTCTGAAGGTCAAAAGTGACAGCATTTGCATATAATATATATAAGACATGCATAATTATAACATTTTAAAGAAGGGATAATGCAAGTCTCACCTATGGTGCATGCGATGATCTCGTACCCAGTCGATAGCTGAGTTCTGAAATGCCAGAGTGTTCATAAACATTAGGATAATCTGTAGGGGCATTTTTGCCTTGTATGCTCTGTGCGTCCAGAGTCGGTGAGCCCCCGCTGTCACTCCAATCATCGCCAGCACAAAAAGAGTGCAATCTGTTAAAGTTTAATAAAATTACAAATTACTCTTGAGCTCGTAGTTCACAGGCCATAATGAAAAAGCCATGGCAACAAGTCCTTATATATATCCCAATCGCTGTACAACCTTTTAGGTCTGAGCCTCAGATTTCTATATATGCTAAGTGATCATTTCTAATAGGTAAGTAGGTAACTTTCTGTGCCTGAAATACCACCTAGGTGTAAGGCATGCCAGTTTCACGATGTTTTCCTTCATCGTAGGCACGTGTTTTAAATGCTGTCATAAACCTTTGGTGCTGAGCCGGGATCGTACCAATGACAGGGATGTGGAGTCGCACGTTGAAACCATTAGGCCAACACTGCTCAAATCTCCATAATGACTGGCAACACTTCCAATTCATAGTCCAAGTTGGACATACATTTTAGTATATTGAACTTATTCGAATTAAGGAAAACTATTCTACAGCGAAGTCGGACATATGCTTCTGTTTGCCTATATTGTCTATAGTATAGACTAATTAGTTTAGTTTTTCTAGCGTAGCACTTCAAACCTCAAACCTGCGTACCCCTTATTACAGCAATCCTACTGATATTATAAACGCAAAAGTTTGTATGGATGTGTGGCAATTGCTTTACTGATAGCCGCGCGTACTCCTTGATGAAACTTCACGGTCCCCTGGGGGTACGCGTACACTTGAACATATAATTTCAAAACATGTATTCAGACCCATACTTAACCTATTAAAGTTAATATTATAAATGAATTTTCCAAATAATAAAATCTTCCTCTTCTTAGATTACTTACAAAAAAATATAGATGTCCACATAGCTTGAGTGAAAGCCAGGTACAGCCCATACAATGCTGCAATATGACCGTAACCAAATGTGAGTAAATTCCAATAAACTATTTGGAACTTCCGAGGAGCAGCCTGTGGTGCTATTAGCTTTTCGAAATTGGCCTCTGTGGGCTCTAGACATCTTTCCTCTGTTGTATTTGGCGGCATTTTTTTAACTGTGACAAAAATGGTATTATGGTATTATACTGGAAGTGATTTCTGTATCCGTAGAAATGACCATAGTAATTATGATTCGTGAATTAAATTAATATAAATGGCTTCATATTTTGGAAATATTCTAGAATTGAAATCGGTAAAGTTTTGAGATATTTTTTCTTGAATATGACTTTTTGATACATAAACAAATATTTTATTTCATTTAAATGCTAATTACTATTAACCTACATATTAATGAAAATAAATAAAGAGTTTGGTCCACTGCATTCCGATACTTATTCGTTGAGCGAGGAAAGTACCAGCTCTGGGTTCACCAGTAATGTCTATCAGGTGCAATTTGAAGTCTTTAATTAAAGCCTGTGTACTTGAACCCAACGGCCCAATTAAAATAAATATTTGTATTTATTTGTAACATTTATACTAATCAACAAATATAATATATCTCAAAGAGGAAAGCTCTTTGTGACATTAGTATAGATTAAAGGTAAATATCACTCTTCCAGTATTGTATATGGGAATAGGTATGTGATATTTATATCATTTATTGCTCTAAATATCACAAGCCTACTAAATAAAAAACCTTCAATACCTGAGGAAATTATGAAACATATAGAAAACATTTTAATTTACTAAAATTTATTAATGCAAGTGTGACTTACCTTTAATTATTTGCAATCTCTGTTCTATAAAGCTGTTCTCTTAAAAAAAATTTATCATTTTTGTCGAACGACGTAAAGTTCACAAAGCGGTTAATTAAAATTAATTTAAATATCAAAAACTATACATAGATACTTGCTCAGAAGATTATCATTTAGTAACTAGGTCTATACGCAAATGATTTCCGTGTGATATAATTTATAACTGAAAAAAAAAAACTGTGATTAATTAAGGAAATGAGCAAATGGTAAGTTTAGATTCTGAAAGGCCATTTTCCACTGAAAAAAATCAATTAACGTCCAATTATATTCGAAAATAGGTTCAGTATCCAAAACAAAATTTTATTTAATATTAATTTTATATACGTTGCGGACAATAGGATAGAAGCTGGCAGCCAGATGTTGTTCCGGGAAACGGTCAGCGGGTGAGCAGGTAGCGGGATTGTAGTTTTAGACCATAGTTTAAGTTTTTTATTGTATACTTTAACGAATAGATTTACGCAGCCGTTCCTGACGATAGATAGTTATATAAGTCGTTGTTCAGATATTGGTTCGAGCTTATAGTTTGGTCCTGCGAGAAGCCGCATTACCTGAAGAACACTCTACTCGACGGTGCCGAGGAGTTAGATTTTCATCGGTAGTACACGCAAAGAGTTGATTTCACAGACTACACAAAGTGACTCGCCGCTTCTGGTATTCACATAATCATCAAGCAAGAACCATCTGCGACAAGTCGTAAGCTAAAGCAAAGTTGTGAAAAGATCTTCCCGCGTGATTTCAGAGCCGAGCCAATCGGCATGGTGGGCGTTAAAATCGCCAAGTATCACGATTCAAGCGATAGAAACCCTTTCGAGCAGGGAATCTGTAGGCGTTTAAATGTGCTCGATGAGTCGGTAGTTTCGTCATTTCCGCTATGGGACCTATACAGGCACGCATACAATCGTGGATGGTCATCCCAGTCTACGCGCAGCCAGAGGTTAGATAGGTCCCTTCCGTCAAGCGTTCCCAGACGAAGAGAACTGATATCTTCTCTGACGTACACACAAACTGCAGAAATGAATGTTCCAATTTGTAATTGGTAGTAAGTATCAGCCGCGGAGGACATCTGAGTCTCGTACTTCTGGCTGGCTTCGTAGTCTCTAAGTGAAAGTGGACAGCGTTGATGTTGGAGTTGATATGTTTTGACCTGTGGATAGGTCCTAGATCTCAGGAAGTGCTATCAGGTCGAGGGCGTCACAGACCTCAGGACGTGCTATCAGGTCCAGGATGTCACGTGTCATCAAGTTTTATACGAAACCGAAGAACGCTTGGTCGCATCAGAAAAAGAACATTTGAGAAAAAAGTTGGAATTAAGTAAGCAGCTAATGGAGCAGAAGATGCAACTTGATGAGGAATAAATGCCAAAGCCGGCGAGGATGGTCTTTCTCAAAATGATAAGAAAGATTACACAGCGCTCCGAGAACGAAAGAAAGCGCACGTGTCTAGAAAAATAGAGCAGCGACCGACATCATCCACAAACGATTCTGTTGCGCCGAGAACGGAATCCCACGATCGAGAGATGCAGCGACTCAATAGAAAAAAATGAAAAGGTCGTAAAAACTCATGCCTATGCCCTCATAAACGGAAGATTTTGAGAGTCAACACGGCAAAACTGACGTAGACCGCTAAGACTTAGCAGCTAGATACACTTTAAAAGCGCCAACGATGCATGGTTGTGATACCGGTAGCCAAAGGATTAGCGCGGATAATTTACTATACAAACACTTGAATAAGTAACTATTTCAACAAATGATCGACGACGCAAAACCACGGTTATTAATTGGACCGGACAATTGGCATCTCATCGTATTGAGAAAACTAGCCTTTTGTCGGGAAGGGATGATAAGAGGTAAATATCAAGCTTTTGCACACGAACGGTTTGGGTTGGTGTTTAGCTTTATCGAAGTTCATCTATTGGGCTGCGGTAGGGAGCTCCAGGTCTTGGTGGAGGTCAACGTTCCTCACTTAGAAAGGCGCGCCAGTCGCCAGTCACATGAATCGCGACTTGAACGCCTGTAACCGGTGAATATGGGAGGCTGGTTAAAGTACTTCATGCATGGTCGTATACACCTTGCATGGCGTACGCTAGCGTAGTCTTCTAGTCGTCTAGCCCTTGTACAGTGTCACCTTGTATGATCATCCTTTTTTCAGGAGGAAGTAGAGACGGTAGAGGACAAACAAGGCCTTCTTGCGAACGGCGGCTATATGTTTGCAGAAGCACATGCCGCTGGTGTGTGCTTGACCCCTAAATATTTTTACAGATTTTTGCCACGAGATGGCATGAAAAAATAAAATAAAAATAAAATTTTTTTCGAAGTATTCTTCATGGAACAGCACCTAAACTAAGTTTAATGGAAGACAATGAAAGCTCGTGCAGTGCAATTGTTAAATACAACAATAGAAAAACGGAGAGGCGTGGACTACCTGAATTTGCCGTGGAAGACACGAAAATTCTACAAAATTGTTACATTGCATTTAGGCGGATTGAAAGCATTAAATGTACAATGGATCAGTCGTATGGGTTTCAAGAATCATATACAAAACAGATAAATGATCGGAAAAGGATTACCCTCGCCCTGTTAAAAGACCAGAAGTGCGTCAAACTTTGATAAGGTTAAATAAACTAGCTTTATAAGCACCAAAGCACATGCGGTACACAACCACTAAAGAGTCATAAACTGGCCTTCCTCAAAAGAAGGCCAAGCGACAAAGAATACAAGCCTGGCAAGTCACATGGATATTAACCACACAGGGAAAGTTGAGGGAAGGTTTATGCTAGGTAGAGCAATTGTTTGCGTTAGGAAATGTTAGCGGACGCTAAGAAGCGTCTTGAGAGTGGTTTACTAAAAAAGGATACTTGAAGCATAGAAGAGAGAAGGCGCAAGAAGATGAAGCTGATATGAGAACTAGCGTGTTCACTACGAACGAGGAAAAACAGGTCATCGTTAACGAGCCTTTGTCCTACCGAAGGAAAGCTACACCTTATGAGAAGGTTTCGCTGGGGAGAGGCTGTTGCGGACAAAAGGCTTATATTACTGTAGAAAGGAGCAAGTCAGCCTGATGTTGTACCAGGAGACGGTCAGCGGGTGAGCAGATAGCGGAAGGATCGGCAAATCCCGTTACCAGCGTGTAGTTTTAGGCCTTAGTTTAAGTTATTAATTATATACTTTAATCTCATAGGCTGTCATAGGCTATTGAATTTGTAACTGACTAATAAACGGAACATTCAATAAATCCACTCCAAGTTTCTGCTCCCGAGTACGATCATGGTTCAGATCGAGCCATCGTACGCTTATAATATAATTTAACATTAGAAGAAATTATGGTATTCGATGGTACATAACAAAATATAATATATAGGTATGATTGCCAATGATTCACAGTACTTTTAAAACAAAAATTTGATTATATCTCATTGGTTTTATTGCTCCAGGTTTGGAGTATTTTCCTTGATAGTAGTATATTTGTTCTGGTTATTCGATATACTTTGATATATTTACTGTGTGAAAAAATTATCAGAAATTTTATCTAAATATGAAAATGTGCGAATATGTCTTTAAATCTAATAAAAAATATTTTAAACAATGCTTTCAACAGAATAAAACAACAATTATAGTCACTATATATATATATTATATATATATATATGTACATCGTTAATAATAAATAACTATTCTGCGAATTAAATTTTTATTATAAAAAGTACCCTGGATTACTTCAATAAACACATTTGGGGCATTCAGAGTGAAGAACTAAATTATTTCTAAACTGCCTTAATTTTCCCCCATAAATCACTACCGTCACCAGTTCTTTTCGCTCGTGCTTCTATCATCCCTTCAGGCACAGTCTTCAAATCATACGCCCATCCTATCTTCGCGAAGAAGTCTATAAATAACGTTGTAAAATTCAGTAGGTTGTTCCCAAGTTCGGCTGTGCGGTAGTCCCAAGGGTACACGTGGTGGTAGTTATGAAAACCTTCACCGAAGACTATGAAGGTGACTACTTTGTTCTGCACGGGTTTTATACTTTTCTCATATGGTTTGTAACCCCAAAGATGAGCTGCGCTATTTACTAAGAAGGTAGTGTTCAGATTCAGGATATATCTGAAGAGGCATATGTGCCAGGCAATCTTCAGGCTCTCACCCCAATAGTAGACTGGCACTAAAGTTGGGAGCAAAAAGCAGACTGACCCAATAAATGGTATGGCGTATCTGAAAAACGTTTAATAATTATTGATACGTTCTCCGTGCATGGTTAAAATTTAGTTTGGGTAGATTATGCGTGGCCGTTCATGGCTATTAAACACTTATATCTTTATTTTGATCATTATGACGTAAAAGTAATAACTTTTAAAATTAAAGATAATAACTTTTATATTTATTAATTTGGGTTTTTTCAACGTTTTTTTCCCTATTTAAAGTCAGTATAGTTAGTATTTCATAGAATATTATGAACATTTAACTGAAAATAAAAGTTCACATAATGCTTATATATTGTGAATTTACCTTATTCACGATAAATAACTAACTAAATTTTTAAAAAGTTAAGATCATTACTTGTAAGGGCCCAGTGGGAAGAAGAAAGAGAGGATGCCCACCAAAAACCTGAGAACATTAAATAAAAGGGATAGCGGGGAAAAATTGGAAAATTGTCGCAACAAATAGGGACAAATGGAAGAATTTTGAGGAGGCCTTCACTCCGTCGAAACTTAAAAGACATGGACTTACTGTAGTTATAGTGTACTCGAATGAAGGCTATTTTTATTTTATTATTGTGAATTTAAATAAAAAAATCGTATTAATATAGTTATATTGAAATTAACGAACTATATTATCACAGATTATCATTATAAGCAAACATAATTATGAACAACTTACTTCTTCTGAAACATTAGTACAGGATTTGCATAGATGTCGCTCATATCAATAAACTTGCCGCGCTTCTTCACTTCTTCATGCTTTTTTACAAGCAGCCAGCCCACGTGGGAGTAGAAAAAACCACGAGTTGCGTTATGAGGATCTGCGTCCGTGTCGCTATATCTGAAATATTACATTATTTAAGCGAAAAAAATAGCATTACTGTAATATTGTTTTCATTAATCTAGTTCAATTAAATACTCCTACAAATTTTAATTTGTCATTTATAAGTAAAAAATCCAATCAAAAATCTTTTAAGGTCTGGGCCTCATATTTCTGTATCTGCTTCGTAATCATTTGTGAATGTTGTTGTAAAAGGCAAGTAGGTGATCAGCCTTCTGTCCTTGACAGACACTGTCGACTCTTTGGGTCGAGTCATGCTGGTTTCCTCACGTTAAAAGCGTACGTAGACAGAATGTTCAGCACAAATGATGCACAGCTGGGAATCGAATCTTCGACCTCATTTTCTTATAGAAACCGGCAAACCGGAAGGGGGCTCACTTGATGTTAAGTGATACCGCCCATGGACGCTCTCAATGCCAGAGGGCTCGCGACTGCGTTGCCGGCCTTTGCAAGTAAGAGAGCCGCAAGCTGAAGCGAGTAGGCCAACAACGCTCTTATAATCGGTTCTGTACCTGTACATATATTGAAATATATCAACATTAGATGTTATAGCATTATAGGTCGGCAACTCAATGGAATATGAGGTCTATCGATGAGTGCTCATTTGCTTTTATGTACAATAAAACAAAATTATTTCTATGTAAATAAAACATGTAGCCCAATCAATGAATTAAAGTAATAATTGTTTAGTTGCAATAACATTGATATTATATTATTAGCATCTATTATTATATATATCTCAGTAAAATCAATGAAGTAGTTTTCCATGGTAATTATACTGTTAATTATAGCTTACTAGCGTTGCGTGTGCGCAACGGTTTGCGTTTTATTGTTTCATAAATTATAATATAGATATTGAAGATGCTTGCGGCCTTGCCACGATGACTAAGTATCTGAAGTTTCTACAATCACGCGGAATATTCGTGTAGCCTGACCACATGGCGTTTCTGCCACATACCTCTCTATTATGGCGGAAATACGTACCTACTTCTTTAATATCAATATTTAAGAGCAATGGTGCAATTCATTTTCCTCTTAAAACTAGGTTCTTGTCAACATTCAGTCTTAACGTGCGCTAAAGTATTATAAGAGTTGCGTGATAATTGTGTTGGTGAGCTCATCATACATTTAAACCAGAAACATTTTTATATTTTTCCTTATAACTTTAATATTATGTTAATCAATGTTGTTTTATTGCGATTATAAGCAATATTATTGTGAGTGAAAATATAATACAGTATGGGCGTCGTCGGTAGCAGTCGTAAGATAATTCAAATTCGGTAAGTTATCTTTACCCGATGAAAAGATAACTTTAAGAATAAATGAACTCGCAAAAAATAAATACATAATTAAATATTATGACGTTTTGTTTTCAAAAAGATGAATTTTTTTATTTAATCTATACTATAATTTTTTTTGCTGGGTATTTCAATTGTTGCTGAGTTGTTCAAGTATTATAATCAAGCTATAGCAAAAAATAAATACATAATTAATAATTATGTCGTTTTGTTTTCAAAAAGATGAAAAAAATTTTTTAATACAGTTGCTCAAAAAGTGGCGTATTGCAGGGACGTATAGCGTTCGGGATGTGGGCTATTACACACTCGTGCTTTTTTCTTACCTTTTCCGAACTAGTGCGTTTTCTTTCCCAACTGTCAAAATAATGTCTATTAAAAAGAAAAAACCAACCACGAAGTTTTTACTAAAAAAAATTCATAGAAATTTTTATGATTCATGCAAATATTTCTAAAAAGAAGCTACTGCTTTGTTTCAATATAAGATTTAATGATTTGATTCAATGAGTTAGGTTAGATTTCATTTCATCTCCTTAAATTTCATTTCATATCAATAAAAAATTGTACTGAAGACTTGGCTGTATGGGCATAGTTCCCTTTGCCTACCCAGAATGGGTGAAGAAAAAAAAATCTGCTTATATTCTTTAGGGTTGGCGCCATTTTCCAAAAATGTTCTTTGCGCGTTTAGTTGTTTGTTATATTATATATTAAATATACATGAAAAATCATACGAAATAAATAATAGTTTGTCTCAAACAGTAAATAAATATGCAACCTAAAACTTCTCCAGTTAGAATAAAAAAAACTGTACCAATGTATATGTGAACAATAATTTGCATAAGAAATAAATGATTAGTGAGTTGAGTTTATTGTTTTTTTTATTATTTTATTAAATTGCATAATTTTTTTTGCAACTGTATTAAAAATAGTTGTTCAGTACACGTGTGGAACCGTCATTGCAACTTGTTCCGACTGTCAACCCTCACCTTCGGCTGCGCCTCGGCTCGGGTAGACATTTGTCGAAACTCTTTGCAATGACAGGCTTTCCGCCTTGTAATGAAATATACTACGTAGTCGGTCCCAAAGTTCTGTCATAAATGGAAATAATGATAAAAACAAAAGTACTGATCAGTTTGTAATGAGTGATATATCAATTCTTAGTACATTAATTAAGGAATAAAAAAAGCATAAAAATATTCGAAATAACCTCCCTCATTTTTAATACAGGCCCTTAAGCGTCGCGGCCAGTCGTCTATCGCAGCACGCACCATATTCGTGTCGATTTCAGTCACTGGTTTTTTTAAAGATGACTTCAGATTCTCCAAATTTTCATGAGGTTTATCACAGACCTTCCTCTCTAAGCCCTGTCATAATTTCTGGTCCAAAGGATTAAGGTCCGGACTGGAGGAAGGCCAATCCTCATGTCTAATTAAGACGATGTTTTGACGCTCAAACCAGGCTTTAGTGGTCTTGGCTTTGTATGCAGACGCAGAGTCCTGCTGGAACACGAAGTGATGTCCCGCAAATAGGGTGCTGGACATGTCTTTGACAAGGCGATACAAAACCGTCTCTTGGTACACTGTAGCACTGGTTTTGACCCCCTTTTCGAAAAAATTAACCTCAGTTAGCCCGTAATAGGACACTCCCAACCAAACCATTACTGATGATGGATGATGTCCATGTTGCACCCTTGGATCTTTATTTTCAGCTTCTTCAGAACTCCTAGCGTACACTGTATAATTCTGTTTATTGTACTTCTCTTCAATATCGAAAAATTTTTCGTCCGTAAAGAGGATATCACGGTGTCGGTTTTTCGCGTACCGCTTAAACAACACCCGCGATCTCTTAAGCCTTATTGCTTTTAGACGAGCATTAAGTAAGTGCCCACTCTTTTTTGTATGCTCGTAGACCAAGATCTTCATTTAAAACCTTTTTTACTGTTTTCCTACTGACACCCATCTGCAAATCCATCAACTTCTGTTTTCGGACAGGATTTCTTACTATCCGCGCCTTGATAGCTTTGATTACTGCTGGTGTTCTTGCGGAGCGTGGCCAGCCAGTTTTTTTTCTTGTCCTCAACACTGGAGACTTCAAGGTACCTATCAATAGTACCGTACATAAACCTAAGCGTTATATTCAAATTTTTGAGCAACTTGAAAATGGTACTCGGCGAGTGTCCACAGCGGTGCAACGCAATAACAACTATTCGGTTTACTTTCAATGTCCACTCCATCGTGAAAAATTACGGAAAGTTATTGTTTTTTGTTTTAAAACAATAATCAAACATTCCAAAATAGAATGCAATAATTTTTTTATAAAATCCTGCTCGAAATGTAGAAATAATGTGCTAGTGACAGAACTTTGGGACCAACTACTATATTTAATCTAAACTTTTTTGCTGAGTATTTCAATTGTTGCTGAGTTGTTCAAGCTATAGCTTGATTATGACACTAATATAGTATGAAGGACAAGTAATTAAACGTGAAATTAGGGAAAGAAAGACTTAGAGACAGATACATTTTTGCAACTCTCAGTCCGAAGTCACTGGCATTTTGACCTAATCACTTATCGGCTCGTCTTTCATTGTTTCATTTATACCACATTATAAACGACACATTTTTATTGATGTTATTTATAAAGTTTGACGGTTGACAAAAGATTTTTTTGTTGTTGTTTTCTTTTCGCCCGACTCCAAGTCTTCGTCAACCGCTGTCTTCGCCGTATTCTGTTTTTTTGTTGTTGTTTTCTTTTCGCCCGACTCCAAGTCTTCGTCAACCGCTGTCTTCGCCGTATTCTGTTTTTTTGTTGTTGTTTTCTTTTCGCCCGACTCCAAGTCTTCGTCAACCGCTGTCTTCGCCGTATTCTGGGCATCTACTGGCCTGAAAAAATCTCTAACGAGCAACTTTGGGAGCGCTGCCGAGAAACCCCGATCAGCCAGCAGATCAAGCGACGCAAGTGGAATTGGATAGGCCATACACTTCGAAGGGATCCCAATCATATTCCCAAGCAGGCGCTTGATTGGAACCCGCAAGGAAAGCGGAAGCGTGGCCGTCCCAGGCAAACCTGGTGTCGTACAGTCGCAGACGAGGCAAAGAGAGCCGGAAAGACTTGGAGCGAGGTGAAATATGAGGCTCAAGACCGAACGCGATGGAGACTCACTGTGGACGCCCTCTGCCCCAACTAGGGGTTATAGGACATTAAGTAGCAGGCGACCATAGTATTTCGACCATACTATAGTCTTTCGACGATACTTGCCAACAAAGAGGATTTAGCGTTTCCGGCGGTGTGGTTAGTCCAAGTCAGTGTTGCAAGGTAAAAAATCGAAAGATCAGAAACGAATGGATTGATTTTTATTAATTAAAATAAGTATTTTGCTTTCATTTTTGGCATAGCCAGCTATTGTTGATAAAGTATTCTTTACAAATGTTTTCGTTGTGAAAACAAAATACACCAACATTGTTTTTTTACGAGTAAAGTTAATTAACAAGCACTCGGTTAATTATTCTATAAAAGAAATTTATTATTTTTCCTTATGTACCAATAGATAATGCTATTCTACGCAACAATAATTGCAATTTCTTAATAAATATTAATAATCTAATAAGCGTTCATTGGATATCATTTGTCTTTGATTTTTTTTATAGAACAGAGAACAAACGGGCAGGAAGTTCATCTGCTAATAAAGTGATACCGCAATAGACACTCTCAATGCCAGAAGGCTCGCGAGTGCGTTGCCGGCCTTTTAAGAATTGGTACGCTCTTTTCTTGATGTACCTTAAGTCAAAATGGTTTGGAAATACTAAATCAATGTCCAAGTACTACAAATCTAAATAAAACTATTTACACAGACTGTGGAATAGTGACGGTGGTTTAATGAAGTTTATTATCTGTGGTAACTTGTTATTAGTTATTGGAATCGGTAAAACGAAGTGAAGTTACGGAGTAGGTTTTGCTCCAAGCTTAATTTATTTCTACTCACAGGTCTATCACGTTTATACTACAGATAAATAACCTACCTATGGTGCATCCGATGATCTCGTATCCAGTCGATGGCTGTGTTCTGAAATGCCAGAGTGTTCATGAACATTAGGATAATCTGTAGGGGCATTTTTGCCTTGTATGCTCTGTGCGTCCAGAGTCGGTGAGCCCCCGCTGTCACACCAACAGCCGCCAGCACGAATAGAATGTAATCTGTAATGAGTATGGGATTTCTACAACAGGAATATATGCAAACATTAGTCGCACGGATACACATTGTTGCAAGTGTGTTGTTAATAATATATTGTTTTTATATTCCAGTACATTGTTAAATATGTTGGCTGTTCTGTAGGCGATTGAAAAAATTAGATATAAAAAAAAACAGGTTACATAAGTTATAAGGCAACGGGCCTTATTTCTTCTCATAACAAGCGATTTCTTCCAGGCAACCCGAATATTAGATTTTTTTAAATATAAAACCTAAAAATATATATGTCAATGTTTTATTAATTAATAAGTAGTAGACTCGGCCAAGCGTTGCTGTGGCTCAGATTTTTGTTATATTACATAGTAGTAAACTATTCAAAAGAAACGGCAGGAGAACACCAATCCACCATGCTTTTTTGGTGGTTTGGTGGGTGGCCATTAAATTGTAGCTTATGTGAAACGTTGGTAATTATGTTGATAAGGATCAATACCAAGGTACGAATAAAGAGCCTTTTCTAGCGGTGGTATTTTAATAAAAAAATAATAATTAAAAAAAATAAAAATAATAATAAAAGGACAAACTTTTCCTCTTTATAATATTAGTATAGATTGAAGAATAACTTTATGCAGTCATCTGTATCATTAACGGCTACCAAACGGCATGAGGTACCTTTCCGTAAACCGATATTAAAAACAGTAAAAGATTTTTACTTACTAAAAAAATATAGTTTTCCACATTGCTTGAGTGAGAGCCAGGTAAAGGCCATACAATGCTGCAATATGACCGTAACCAAATGTGAGAATATTCCTGTACACTATTTGAAACTTTCGAGGGGCAGCCTGTGGTGCTATTAGCTTTTCGAAATCACCCTCTGTGGGTTCTAGACATCTTTCCTCTGTAGTATTAGGCGCCATTTTATCTGTGGCTGAAATAAAACAATTGAATAAAATAAAGCTACCTGTATATACATATATCCAAAGTATTAGATGCTGTCTTATTAGATTTCCTTACAGCGATAAGGAGTGACAAATATTTATCATGAAATATACGTGGAAATCCGTGATTCTCGGGTTTGGTTCCTGAGAAATACGCTTTGAGATTTCTTGGCTTTCTGGAAGGCCATAAATAATAATAATTCGAACAGATTGATGAGCTTCGGCACTTCCTCAAATATACATAATAATGTTAAAAATTATAATATTTCTTGTTATTTCATGCAAAAACTTGTTAACAATATTTGCTGCAGGATACTAGGAATCCAGTGTCGCTCTTAAGGCCAATTAACTCAAGGCCTTAGATTGTATCTGTTTCTATGATAATTTTTCTTCATAAAATGCAAAGTTTTATGTTCATAATTCAGAACTCAAAATTCTTTATTTGTTTAGCTATGTACAATAGAATTCAGATTGCCTCCCTAGGAAGTCAGAGACCTGTGACAGCTTCGCTCATCTTTAAATTACAAAGTTTCAACAAACAACACAATTGGTTTTAAAACGAGGGTACTGTAAAAATAATAAATATATGATGATTACTGATGATTGTGTGTGTGTGTGAAAGACGAAACAAATCTAAGTAAAAGTGTGCATGAAAAAAGATGGATTAAGGAAAAATGTATGATAGAGGATTAAACTTGTTTCCTCAATGTATTCCTTTTAAGTAGGAGAAAGTGTTAGATGCGTATTTCGAATCTATTGGATCCTCAGTTGAGAATTGCAAAAGGCCACACGCTTTAATAAAAAAACATATTGAATGCTTAACATCAATAAATGTATGCAAATAGATAAATAATGACAATAAAAACTTACATATCCCTTTCCTTTTCCTACTACATGAGACTTAAACACACACTATTAATTATTATTTAACAAATATCGTATGTCGGGGATAGCTTGTTTAATACTATTTAGTTACATAAAAATTCACTACTGTAAAAATGTATTGCGTCTCTGAACATCCTTTAATAACTAAGACAATAGGAAAATTATTGCACGTTTTTGCATTATAATGAAATCTACAAATGTAAATTAAACAGGGAATGAGATCAATCTTTAGCTGTTTGGGCGGGATCAGACTTTCAATGTCATTCTAGATCAATAAGATTCGTTTCCAAAAGTGATTTAATAAATAAATCACTGATTATCAATGGTCCCATAGAAATATCCAGTCGTTTTCATTGTCAGCTGAAATGATTTATAAATTTAAATGTATTGTTATATTTATTTATTCAATGCCTTCGCAAGCCCTCTTTCAGTGAGAGAGTCCATGGGTGTATCATATCCAAATCACATTTTTGAAGTTGTACTTCTTTAGGCGCGTTATGAAAAATTGATGAGAGTGAAATTTTACGATTGCGCGCGCACCTATGACACAAAATTGGCAGTGTGATATAGCGTGCGCGAGCGAGATGGGAATAAGACAAACTACAAGTAAAAGAAATAGAATATGCGTGAAGCTAACTTCACGCATATTTTAGCTTAGCAGCTTAACAAGAATTTTGAATGACCATGACAATTGACATCTGACAATGACATTTATCTTTTAAACAAATATAGGAGTTTTAATTATTGTTTAAAATTAATAATTATATACCTAGTTATTTTCATTATACAAAATATTTGTGAAATAATATAAAATATTTGTGAAAAAACTGTGCTAACCTTCCTGAGTGCTTCAATACAATTGAGGTTAACTATCCGTATGTATTATCGAGTATTATTGTTGATTAAAACTGAAACATGAACCATTATTCATTGCTTTTGTTTATTGCGTTTGTTACAGCAACTTTTTAGAAATATTCTACGACCCTATATATCAATAATTGAGAACAAAGATTTAAGCACGAATACTAATAAGGAGAAAATGAAGGCTTGGAGCGATATAACAGAGAAGTAAACATTTTAATAAATACCTGCATCTCAAAAAAATGACCACATTATTTAATCAAAACATCAGATTTAATCTAGCAAATATAAGGACAAGAGACAAAAAACAATTGATGAATCAGTGGAAGTGCACTAAATTGAATACAAAAAAAGAGTTGTCATCTTATCGCCGTGAAACATTAAAAAACTGGAGGTGGAACAAAGCCACCATCACCTTCTCGAGACACAATGGTTTGAAGTAGATTTCAATGAATTTGATTGTGATGGTGTCGAGGTAGGAATGTTAATTATAAATATGATGTATGGTGTATGTTCAAGGTTCAACCTTTCAAGCATAGGCATATGCTTACAACATTACTTTATTCCCCTACAGGGTAGTTAGAGATATTGTAATACCTCAAAACATCCATGTTGCACTTGTAGTACCGAAACTCTGTCCTGCCAGAAGTGAGCCCATTCCCACTTATAATGGACAGTGGGTATAATACACCTTAATACCTGAGTGCGAACCACTCACCATGATACTTAAATTAATAGATGTTATTTATATATTTCAGGTTATTACAAATAAAATCATTTTGGAAACAATTGATATCCCAAAAGCAAATACAGCCAACAATGACAAGGTAATAAATCAGTTTTGACATAACTTGAATACTAAAAAAGCCAAACAAAGGTGTGCACAACAGTGACAACATAACTTAACAATTTCATTATTTTGTAGGATTAAAGAAAGGTTAAAGAAAATCATGTCGAACTGAACAACAAGAATCCCCAAACAACTCCAAAGAAACCTACAAGGAAGACACCGGTATTATATTTAAATTATCTCTATCTCTAAATAGAATAAAAGAAAGTTGCTATCCAGGTCTGTAGCATGTGCTACAAATTATATTATTAACACATTTATATAATTATATTAATATAAATGTGTTAAAAATTTATAATATGAATTATAAAAAATTTTAAGTTTTGCATGGACAGAGCTTAAATTAATATTCTCTTATTTAGTTTTGGAGAAGCCTCGTAGATGCACAACCAAGTAATGATTAATTTAAAATTACAAACCGAAATTCTGATGAAGACATTAGAGTCACTTAAAAATAAATAGTATAATGAAATAAAAATGTTTTAAAGATAAATAGTGTTTTATTTGTTTAATGTAAGAGAATAATAATAAATATTTATTTAATTAATTTTTCAAATGTAAACTGAACTTTATTGACTTTAATGACTCCTTTTCCAGTCTTTGATTATTTAATTGTAATTAATTATTTGCATGCAATCAAAAACTATTTTTAATAATGCCAAAGAAGTATAACTTCTTACGCGCGTACATAAGTACACGCACCCTTTTTTTTTAATGTAATAGGAGGCAAACGGGCTGCTGGCTGCTGCCCGTTTGCTTCAAGCCTTCAAGCCTTCAAGAATTGGTAACTTAACATTAACATCCTACCCGTTAGCTATATTAAAAAAAATACTATTCTTATCGATTTCAGCTTCTCTTCGCACGCGTAGATTTTGGCAAGATTGCGACCGCTATATAACAATTACAGCAAATTACAATAAGATGCCTTAGTTTGTTGAACATTATTTCTTTTTAGTTCATCTCTGTTACTTTTATTCCCATGGCTTGTTCAGTGTTATACCTGTCGTATCCATACTGTTTGTGTGACCAGAGTTCCGTGGTTCATATCTACGTAGAACAATACAAAACAGTTGACGACTCGTTTTTGATATGAAATGTAAAATTTCACCCGAGGTCTGGTGCCCTCCACGCCAGTGACAATGAGTTTTCCTAAACTTTCTGGATCTTTGCGTGTCACATGCCCAATAAAGTCAGGATGCGTCGGTAACATAGTGTCGAAAGACGATTTTATCTTAGTATGGAACTAGCGGACCCGACAGACGTTGTCCTGCATGATATTTAAGCGGTTAGGATATTAAATGAAAATACCGACTGCAGCGCCATCTGCTGGGCGGATTTATGAATCTAAACCATCCAGGGTTCCATCAAAACAACAAAAAAACATTCAAATCGATCCAGCTGTTTAAGATGAGCTCAGTGACATACACACGTACAGTAGAAATATATATGTAAGCTATCCTATAATTTAAGTTAGATCAAACTGCACGGTGTGCAAATTTGATTGAAATCGGTTTACTAGTTTAGGAGTCCATAGCGGACAAACAACGCGGCACGTAATTTATATATATTAAGATTATTTTAATATTTTATTAAGACGCAGCTTGCATAGGCAGATTTTAAGAAAACAACTTTACATCAAACGAGAAGACTAAATCCATCATTATAGCTCTGGTCGCTCATGATATCGTGAACGCGCACAAATCGAGCGATTATTGTAAGGCGCGCCTCCCGCGATAAAACAATTAGAACATCCGAGGGGAGTCTACTGTCTATAGTTAGCTTTGACATAGATCAGATGTCATGTAGATACCGCTTTGGTGCGCGGGCATAGACATATTCTTCAATTGTTTTTTTTAATAGTAACGAGAAGACAGTTAGTAATTACTCTTTGTATAACTCATTATTATTTAGATTAATTAGAAGATAAAATATAAATTACTGATAAAGATCAAATATCAGTAACTGCAAGGCAGTATCCCTCGGATTATGCATGGCATTATATTTTTTATATTAAGGCAACTGGAACAGGTTGGTTTGCACGCTCCAGAACGTAGGACGACCTTTAGTTCAAAGCGAAGGCGGGACGGATCTGCGACGTGCTGAAATCTGATACGCGGGATAGTTCGGTATCCATTACATCGCAAAGTGAGGGTAGGCCTGTCAGTGACTTTAACTTAATGTCCCCTACGTGGGGCAAAGGGAATCTGAAGTAATACGCCATCTCGATTGAGTGCTGCTCTTCTAATTTCCCTCTGGATCTTACCAGCATCCTTCGCTTCAGCCAAAATATTCCGCTTCCAGGTCGATTTGGGGCCACGTTTCAGTCGAGAACTATCTCTGCAATATGCATTGCCTATATCAATATAGCCTAATACGAGTATTACCGAAAAAATACTAATTTAAATTATCCAGCTCTGTAAAATGTACCTCAATACTTATTTAGGTTGACCTTTAAAAATTAAACCTCCTTTTGACGTAGGACCACCCAAGCTGGTTCATACCCGTATCTGTGGCTTTAATCTATGTGAACTGTTGCTATTGCGATCTCCGAGACGCATATTAATGGGGTCCTTATTTTAAATCCGGTAGCATGTTGAGCGGTTAAGTCGAAGCCCGGATAAATTACTTAGCGGTCCGGGCGTAACCGGGAGAAACCATCAAACCAAATGACTACAATATTTGTGAATAATGTTTTCAATTATATATCCAACACACAAACATATTTACAATATTCTTAATTGATAAATATAAAGTTAAAACAAATTTAAAAATTTTGGTCCTTGCGTTATCTTTAATGCTGGCAGCATTTCCTCACTGTAGCGAGGAAAGCACCAGCTCTGGGGTCACCGGTACTATCTACCAGGCGCCAACTAAAATCTTCAATAGCGCCTGTGCATTTGAACCCCACGGCCCAAGAGTCTCAACTTCGAAGGAAACAAAATCAAAGTTGGAGAGAACTCTTATATTTTAATTATATATGATAATTTCAACTTCACCGTACCTTTTTTGATAAAATACGATCAGTTTAGAATTTTGAATGATTTTTTTCTATCAGAAAATTTATTTTGCATCGCAACTGGGTCGAATTAAAACAGGTCGATTTCATTCGATTGTAAAGTGTTGTTATTTTTGTTTTGTATTAGTCCGTAGACGGTATATGTCGCAGTATGATTCATACTGTGTCTAATTTTCAAATGTCTATACCGAGGATTTTTATGAGGTTAAATAAATAGGGCGCAAATTCTTTAATATATCTGTCTCATTGTAGCTAGTCAATTTTCGAAGTCTGAATTCAAAAAAGTCTAAATTATTTATAAAAAATCACGAGTATCAGATATATTTTTAACTATCCAATTCTGATTATATACTTATTTTTATACAATAAAGCTCCGGATCTTGTATTATACATAGTAGGGCCTGGTATAGGTTCTTCTCGCATTCTATCACCTTTCATCTCAACTCAATCCTAGGTGGGTTGAGTCGCTATGGAAAATTCTCTATCTCGCGGTTCTTGTTCAATTTCTGAAGATCGGTAGTCAATCACCGAAATCTATAGGTGAACTACAAAATCATAATACAAAGTGCATTATTTTATGAAATCCTTCATAAAATACTGCACTTTGGGGTTAGGCCGCTATAGAAGATTCTCTATCTTGCGGTTCCTGTCCAATTACTGAAGTTTGACTGTCAATCTCCGAAATCAATAGGAGATTATAGACTGTAAAATCCAAATACAAAGTGCAATATAAAATCGCTCGAATAAAAAATTTGTCCGTAACATACCATATTACCAAATGTCACCAATACTGCTCCCCGGCCGGCAATTGACACTTTGGCACGCGTGCCATGTGATATTACTTTTGCGGCTTGAATAAGTCAACTTATACAATATTATCGAATGTTTGAAAATTTTATGATCTTTTCCAGTTTATGGATGATTTAGTATGTGTTAAGATGTTAGATATTCTATGAAATTTGTTACAAGATGTATTTATGGACGTGATTCGATTTTGCGTGTTGTTCCCACGAGTGAGTGCGTGCTCCTATTTCACCATGCCTCCTGCTGATAGAGGACAAATCTTTGTTATAATTTATTTTATTATGATTAATTAACTATTGATTTCTTAAGATGTCATCTGGAATATGGTGTAATGGTGGCAGCTTCTTACAAATATTGTGTAAAACAAAAAACTTGGCGATTAAAAAGAGTGGTGGAGAGTTTATTGCCAGTTCTTCTCTTCCAGTCTACGCCCTTGATTTGAGAACTGGCAGTTAATGTAAAATTAGAAGCATTTAATATATATTCCTTTTTTGACGTTTATTTTAATGTACACTACATTGTGTTACCTATATGAATTAATGATTTTGACTTAAAATTAATTTATCATAAACAACTATAACCTTATTGGATTGGTTTAAATGATAACTGATACTTTTCATTAGACACTTAAAGATTATTTATATAAAAAACGAATCAAATGGAAAGGTCCAAAATACCAAATTTCAGGAGAATTTCTGGCTCTAGGTGGCTAGGGATTGTAGGACGGTGTGAAGGGAGTTCCTACTAGAATTGTAACCAATGCTTAAATAGTTTCAGTGAAACATACCCAAGACACCTATACCAGTCTAGGCCTGGAAATGCTGGCTTTTTTATTGATAAACTTTGATATATTTTGCGTAAAGTGGAACCAGCTGCCCACTGAAGTATTTCCGAACCAATTCGACTTAGGGTCCTTCAAGAAAAGAGCTAACTAATTCTTAAAAGACCGGCAACGCACTCGCGAGCCCTCTGGCATTGAGAGCGTCTATGGGCGGCGGTATCACTTAACATCAGATGAGCCTCCTGCCCGTTTGCCCCCTGTTCTATAAAAAAAAGTGCGAGGTTCATTATACTATTTATATAAACAGAGATTACGATAAGTCTCCAGCTTTCTCTTTTCTGTCCAGCAGCCTTTTCTGAGATAGATGCAAATTTGAGGTACTTAAAATTGTTTTAAAATAGAAACAGCTCGTTGGAAAATAAGGAATTGCGAAGTCGAAACGCGAGAAAGAAAATGTATAACGCGCTTAGGAAATACGGAAAAGCATCAGATGTTGTTTTGTTTCCCGCGTTTTTCCCTCTACGAGCGATGTGCATTAATTTATTACGTATTTTCTTTGTGTTTATGTTTTGGAATTGTATGAAGATTCAGTTTTTAATATGGAGTTCCTGTTAATTTTACGTCAGTTCTGCAATAATTAGATAATTTCCTTGATTTTGTTTTTCTATTATTGAGAAAGGAGAAAAATTCTCTGAAACTCTAAGCGTACATAATTTCTGAGTATTTCGGTTGTTAATAACATATTAGATACTCAGAAATACTACTACGATTCAATATTTTTGTGTAAGATTTTCAGGTTCGATAAACTGTTGAACCTGAAGTGTTGCTACCTCTTCTAATATAGGTGCTTATTTCTAGAAAAAATCACCAAAATGTTCTTTTGTAGGACTAGATATCAACTTGTACAAAAATGTAAACTCCGTAGTTTTAAATCAGAACTAAGCGGAAATACAAGCAATTCTCTTGTATAACATTATATTATCAGAGAAATAAGCGATGTTTTCAACCGGTTTTATTTCTTCCATTAAAAAGCTGTGCGCTCAAACGGAAGGGTAGTATTAGCTTTCCCGATTTTATTACGAAACCTTAAATTTTCCGTAATAAAATTGCAGACGAAGTTCGTATTTACACTTATTTTTAGCAAAATGAATAATTTTTATTGAAATATTGCTTTTGATTTATTCGAATTCGTTATAAGATTTTGTGAAAGATTTCTGTTTTCTGGATTATTAAAGAATATTCTTTTATTTATAGCGCAACAGGTGATTACGTCATTGGTACATGATCTCCAGCCAACTTTCTATTAATCATTTTAGATCCGACTTCGTAACTTCACAAAGCATCACTGAAATAAAACCCAGACTCTTAATATACATAATTGTTAAAGCGTGTTCAACTAAGCCACGGAAGAAAAATTTGAATTCATTAAAGACTTTTTGGGATGGTAAATAATTTATACTTGTTAGAAACCTTCAAAAGTGTCATCCACATTACCGACGCCAGTGCAACAATATTGCCGACACCACTGCTACTGCACATTCACTATTAAACATATTATTATTTATTATACAAAAAATTCGTTGTACATAGTTTGTAATAATTCCATTAAATTTATTTTAATGGAAAATATAATTGTTTGTTATGATATAAAAAATTTAGGAAAAAATATTTACATGCTGAGTCAATGATTAATTTATTTATTGCAAGCATATATGCGTAACAATAATAAAAATACATGCAATCCATAATGAATATTACTTATAACGTTACCGCGCTGAAATCTAGTGAATAGAAACTCGTCAAGGCAATATATAAAATACCATCCGTATCACCTTGACGTTCGTCGTTCCACAACTGAGCGTTTTCTAAGGCAGTTTTTGCCGCGCACTACCACTATGTGGAACCAGCTGCCCACTGAAGTATTTCCGAACGAATTCGACTTAGGGTCCTTCAAGAAAAGAGCGTACCAATTCTTGAAAGGCTGGCAACGCACTTGCGAGCCTTCTGGCAATGTGAGTGTCCATGGGCGGCGGTATCACTTAACATCAGGTGAGCCTCCTGTTTGCCTACTATTACATAAAAAAACTGGACAAAAATTCAGGCTTACTTACTAACATGATAACAGACGTGTTATATGTTAGTGATAACCAGTGATTCCATGGTTTCAAATTGGGTATACTGTGTGTAATGAAGACCGAGGGCCACTTTTGTAAGTTACTTAGAATTAAGATATGATCGAGATATGAAACAACGAAAATAACTTTTTCCAGAACATAACATATGTCATAATCTAGTAGTTTTTTAAATGAGAGTCATATTATATTCATGCAAGAGAATACATATATTGAGAATACAACTCCAATCGGCTACATCTGCGAGGAAATGAGAACCCGATTACTTTCCATTTCCGGTGCTTTTCTTATATTTTATTCCGATATTAAAGTGTTTCTTAGTAACTGTATATTCTTTATTAAAGGTTCTTTAATACATAATTCAAATCACTGTTAGTTTATGACATATTTAGTCTATTAACTTATTAGATTTTTGGACTGCAGCTGAGTTTCATCATCGGACGTTCCTTAAGGCATTTCTTGCCGCAATCCACCACAGCTGCCAGCTGAAGTTTTTCTGAACCAATTCTTCTTTACTCTTTTAAGGACTCTAAGTC